TACTATCTCTGATCCAATTAATGATAACACTTTTTGTGAAACATTATGTCAGGTCACTGTCTGCAATTTTATCCCACAAATCTACTGGCGGGATGGGTGTACCAACATTGAGTGCCCTCTATATTCCTAGTATCGAGGCACTGGGCACATGTGACCAGCTATGATGGGTGACCTATAGTGTTCATATGTCTGATGCAAAACGGGTGCTATAGTCCGAGCTGTGCAATTGAAAGTAATTGCTAGGAGGGCAGAGGTACAGTTACAAGAACACTCTAAAAGCCTCCCTAAACAAATACAGCATTCCTGAAGGAAAAAACAGAGTTAACGTTTCAGGTCGGGTGACCCTTCTTCAGAATTGGACCCGAAACGTTAACTCTGTTTTCTCCCTCACACATGCTGCCAGACCTGCTGAACTTTTCCAGCAACTTCTGTTTTTGTTCCTGATTTACAGCGTCCGCATTTCTTTTGGTTTTTATATAGAATTCCATGTGCCAGCCATCACCTGTGATGTGCAGAAGGCAGTGAGACTTGCTGAATACATCAGAAGTAATTCAAGCTAACAGATTCACCCATTCGTTTGCAGATATCGAAATTAGATCAAGTGGCATTGTTAATGGTTTTGGAGTATTTGAAAGAAAGGCCATTAAGCACAGAAACACCTCAACACACCAACCAACCCTGTCAGTGGTCAAAGTTTGTTTGGATGACAACAAAATTGGCGGCATGGTTAACAGTGAAGAAGGTTATCGAAGATTACAAAGGGATCTTGATCGACTGGGCCAATGGGCTGAGACGTGGCAGATGGAGTTTAATTTGGATAAGTGCGAGGTACTGCATTTTGGTAAAACAAACAAAGGCAGGACTCATACAGTAGGTCAATGGTTAAATTTCCCCGACAGCGGGCTGAGTGACATGGGCCACGATGGGAAACATGGCAGAACCACATGGAAACCCCAGCGAGGTCTACCCTGAGCCCAGAAGCCAAACATTGCACTGCACCCCTCCCACCTCCACCCCAGCCCAACCAACCCCCGGGAACAAGAAGCACCTGGATATATAAACGAATAAGAAGGGAATAGAGGGATACGGATTCTGTAAGTGAAGACAGTTTCAGCATGGAAGAGCAAAATGTGTCAGCGCAGACCTGGAGGGCCAAAGGCCCTGTTCCTGTGCTGTTTGTTCTTTGGTATCCAGAGAGTCTCACTCACCCACGCCCCCCTCCAACCCCCAAACACCACCTGCCCCAACATGAGGCAGAGTCTGCACCTCCAGGATTGGACAGCTCAACCACCAGACAACCCCCCACCACCAGAGAGGGAGCAAGTCATCCTCAACTCTGAGGTGTTACCAACGAAGAAACCAAAAAACATTGGGTCACAGAAACAGAGCCGAACTTTTATTTCAATTGTTAAAAACCTGGTTAAATATGCACGTGTGCGCAGTTGGAAATAATCAGCACTGCTTTAGTTAACAAAACAGATCGATGAGTACAGAAAACTGCTTTAACCAGCACTTTATGAACTGGCACTCTTGAGAAACCAGCAAAAATTATCCACCTCAAATTCTAAAAGTTCACTGTATTATTCTATCCAATTATTATAGTTTTTTTTTTAAATTTATTTACCTCAAAGTAAATATACTTGTTGTTTAATCGAATGACCACAGAAATATCAATAGTTTATTCAATTTTGAGTCAATCTCTCCTCAAGGCAGTACGGTGGCTCAGTGGTTAGCACTGCTGCCTCACAGCACCAGGGACCTGGGTTTGATTCCACCCTCAGGTGACTGTCTGTGTGCAGTTTGCACATTCTCCCTGTGTCTTTGTGGTTTGCTCTGGTTTCCTCCCACAGTCCAAAGATGTGCAGGCTAGGTGGATTGACCATGCTAAATTGCGTGTATTGTGCAGCAAAGTGCAGACTAGATGTATTAGCCATGGGAAATGCAGGATTACAGGGATAGAGTGGACCTGGCTGGGAGAGCGTCAGTGTGGCCTGAATGGCCTGCTTCCACACTGTAGGGATTGTATGATATGAAACCCTATGATGTCCAACTGGGTCAGTTGAGGGTATGAGTCAAAAGGGTATGTTTTATTTAAGGTAAAGTTGCATCATTATTTAAATGCTTTATGCTGTAAATAAAGTATAACAGAGGTGGGTTTACCCCTTGCATTACATTTGTATTATTTAGTGTGTGTTTTTACATTGATTATGTGGGCCACCTGAATATCCACAATATTGGATCAATCAGCACACTCCTGGTCCCCCAGGTGTCAGATAATAAAAGGTTTTACTGTACTCTAATAAACCAGTACATTGTACAAATGTTATTTTGGAGCGGGCACATCAATAGAGTGTGAAACAAAGTAAAAGTTTCCTTTTAACATTCAATAATTGTCTTAATGTTGCGACAGTGTCAGCAAACAGTTTTTTTTTAATGTTTCAGACACACGAGTCACATTCCTCTAATTTGTCTGATTGTTGGTGAGACATTGAGAACTCAGGCCCAGCCCATGTCTCTGTCACGGCACACAGCCCTTAACAAGAAACTATTTACTTGGAAGCAGGAATGTGAATTGCTTCCATTGCTTATTTTTATGTCGGCTCTATCACCTCACATTCCCCCATGTCATGTATCCTATCTCGTCCACTCGCTACTCCCTAAGTCACCTTCTCACTGCCAATGCTGTCGTAGCTGATCTCCGCCTTGGAGACTGCAACACCTTACATTTCCGTAGCACCTTTCACATAGTGAAAACGTCCCAAGGCACTTCACCATCAATGCATTTGACACTGAGTCAGATAAGGACATATTAGGCCAAGTGACCAAAGGAGACAGGGCTGTCTAAGGAGCATCTCAAAGGAGGACAGAGAGGTGGAGGGAGAGAGTTGGCAGTTATGCAATAATTGAAAATTCATGAGTTGTAGGACTTGGGTGAGATACCAGCCAAATATCTCGCAACAGTGTTTACTGTAGAGAAGGACACGGAAGCCAGGGAAATCGTGGAAACAAATTGTCATGTCTTCAAAAGTGTTCATATTACAGAGGAGCTGCCAGAGGAAGTGGTGGAGGCGGGTACAATTACAACATTTAAAAGGTATCTGGATGGGTACATGAACGTAGGACATAGAACAGTACAGCACAGTACAGGCCCTTTGGTCCACAATGTTGTGCTGAACTTTTACCCTAATCCTAAGGTCTATCTAACTTCCACCCCTACCTTATACTATCATCCATATGCTTATCTAATAGCCGCTTAAATGCCCCTAATGAGGCCGACTCCACTACCCTCTCCGGCAATGCATTCCACGCCCCGAACACTCTCTGAGTAAAGAACCTACCTCTGACGTCTCCCTTATATCTACCTCTACTCACTTTAAAACTATGCCCCCTCGTAATAGTTACATCCACCCTAGGAAAAAGTCTCTGGCCGTCTATCTATCTATACCTCTGATCATTTTGTTCACCTCTATGAAATCAACTCTCATCCTTTGTCGTTCTAAAGAGAAAAGCTCTCGCTCTCTCAACATTTCCTTGTTAGAC